TCCCATATTTTTACTATGTAAATACAAAGGTTTAAAAAAATATATATTTTTTTGATTTATAAGGTAATGAACAAGAAAATTTATAAATTAACATGATGCCTTCAAGTCAAATTGTCTTTCAATAGTGTTTATTACGATATTTCTTACAAATGTAATTAATGTTGGTATTTTGACAGTTTACTGAAATTTAAAAAAACGTTCACGTACGCGAACTGTTGACCGGTCAATAGATTTGACTGTATACCTCCTGTTAAATGCACAGGCACGAGTATTGGACCTGGGAAGAAAAAATATGACCAGATTGATAAAAAAAACCTGTGTTCATCTTAAGAGTGTCAAAAAAACAAAAAAATTAAATAATGACCCCCTTTAAAAATATACTATAAGTTAAGAGAAGGCCGGAAACTCCAGATTCGAGCCTACGAGCAAGGGATTCATTTCCCGGGCCGTTGTGAAAACAATTGGCCAGACAATTAAAAAAAACTTTTATCACTATTTCACGTTATATTAAGCTTCAAAATGAGACCAACCCCAAGTCTAGCCCTTCTCGTTCATGAAATATCTATCAGGAAACGAGCGAATTCGTGCTAAAAATGCTTGGTAGACAGAATTGCGGCACAGGAATTCGATACGTAAACATATGTCAGCTGAGTATGGGTCAAAATCACTTGAATTTACTTAATAATATTTCTAAATACATTACGTTGGACCACTCACAACCGTCAGTAGCATCTGATACACGCAAAATTCGAATTTCAAACCTTTCCACGGTCTTTAGATTACTTTCTACGCCATTGTCAATCAGCTGTTCGATATTTTGTAACGAGTCTTCTGATTGGCCAATAGCAACGAAAACCGCAACGTTTCACACAAGATGCCTTATGCCGTAGAAAACGATTGAAAGACCGTGTAAATGTTTGAAACTCGAATCTCGTGTGTATTAGATGCTACTGACGGTTGTGAGTGGTCCAACTTAATGTATTTAGTAATATTATTAAGTAAATTCAAGTAATTTTGACCCGTAGTCAGCTGACATACATGTATTAGTCTATGTTTACGTACCAAATTGTTGTGCCGCAATTCTGTCTACCAAGGATTTTAAGCACGAAGTCACTCGTTTCCTGATAGATATTTTATGAACGGGAAGGGCTAGAGACTTGGGGTTGGTCTCATTTTGAAGCTTAATATAAACGTGAAATAGTGATAAAAGTTTTATTTTAATTGCCTGGCCAATTGTTTTCACAACGGCCCGGGAAATGAATCCCTTGCTCGTAGGCTCGAATCTGGAGTGTCCGGCCTTCTCTTAACTTATAGTATATTTTTAAAGGGGGTCATTATTTAATTTTTTTTTGTTTTTTTTGGACACTTTTAAGATGAACACAGGTTTTTTTTATCAATCTGGTCATATTTTTTCTTCCCAGGTCCGATACTCGTGCCTGTGGTTAAATGATGTCATGAAGGATTCTCCATTGAAGTTGATAATAGCAAAAGTTACTGTTTCCTTAAATTGTTTTTACAATATAACAGAGAAAACAATATGCAAAACCTGCAGACATATAAAATGTTAGCGGTATGACATAGTTAAAATATTGTTAAATTGAGATTGAGTTTTATTATTAACATATTTGCAAAACTACGTATCCTCGGGCAACAGTTCAAAACACTATCTCCTTTATATCGGGCCAACAGCTTGACTGTTACCAAATCATACATGTATAATTATACAATAACTTTATAATGTATCTCACTGTACTTTTCGATATAGAATAACGTACATTAGGAATATGACTCCATCTTAATTGTTTATCATATCTGCAAGCTCCCTACGCTATGATTATTATCACATCAATACTATATATTATTTTATCTGTAAGTTAATCATATTCATTAATTAAGTATGTAACCGTTGATTTCTTTTGAAATATGTATCAGTTTTATGGTCTTAAAAAATTAAATTGAATTTATACATGTGTAGTTGTTTGTTGATTTTGTATTAGATATTACTCACCAAATTGTTTAAACAAAAGTCATATGGGATATGATACGTTTGGGCAGATATTATCTGGTTATTAAATCTAAAAAAAAATAATTGAATATTCACTTATAGAAGAGTTGACAACATGGGTACTATCTTACAGAAAACGTGTATATAAATTAATACATAGTATACATTATATTATTTTTGAAATACCCTTAGAGAATGACATAAAACTGTTTTTATATAACAAAATATTGCACTTTTGACTTTGCTTTTATCAATCGCAATGTTTCGGGTCTTTCCGTCAGTCTTCGAATAAGGACCACGCACACGGTAGTAAGAATACACAGAACATATGCGGTATTTCGGTCGTACCTAGCAACATGAACGCTTAGAAACAAATAGTAATTTAATGCCAGTAGTTGAAAACAATAATTATGTAAAATTATATCGAGAAAAAGTCTACCAAAATTAAGTAAATATAAAAATAATGCAGGAAATAGTACATTACTTACATACTTAATATTGTGGTTGTAGAAATTGAAAAAAATTGTGTACCTGTTTATATTTTTTTCGGATTTGCTTAAAAGTCATTTGTAAATTGTTTATAATTGTTATCACAGTTGTACCGAAATAGACTTTTGTTTTCCTTTATATGTCAAATATATCATATGTTATCAAAAATTACGCCTTTTGTTTTTGTATACATGGTAGAACTACTTACAATCCATATTAAGCCCAAGGCAATTATTGATAATAGCCGAAATTTTCCGATTGAAATGTATGAACTGAGCCAGATTATTTCTTTTATTATTGAAATAGATAATAACTGAAACTAGATTTTTAACCCATTACGTTATATACACGCCTTTTAATGCCTTTTTCACCCCCCCCCCCTTTTGGTTGTCTCAAATGGTGAAAAAATGCCTTATTTAGGCCCCCAACACTTGTTTGGGGGGTTTGAAGGGGGGCGGAGTCCCCCTCATCGCCAAGAAAATTTTGGACTTGTGAGAGGCTATAAATGACCCCAGATTGATCATAAGGTAACGTGTAAGCAACACTGAAAAGCATTTGACTCTATCTCAATCCATTGAGAAGTTGCAGCACTTCGAAATAAATTTTGATGGAAAAAATCAACGAAAAATAGTGATTTTTGGCAATTTTGAGATGTCCCCTCGTTGCCATGGTAACAGAAAATTTAAGCCTGAGCATGTTGTTGCAAGGGCAATGGTCCAGTCAACATTTGTGCCAAGTTTGATTAGTGTTGAAGCAGTTTTGATAGTATTATAGCAATTTGAACTTGTAACGGGAGACTTTTCAATGAAAACAGCCATTTTTCACAAAATGCTCATGAAGTAATGGGTTAAGGAGGTATCAAAATGGCGACAGAGGCCAAAGTTTATAACAAAGTCGTTGCATTTTAATAATGAGGGAAAAATATGGCGAATTGTTCAATTATACACATGAAGCATTAAATAACGAAATAGAAATGCCTGTATTGGCGTTTTCAACAATGTACATTAAATAATTGTATTACTGATACCTACTAAAAGTAAAAATGGAAGCCGTCATTTTTGTACCACGTGACTGCTCTTCTAATGCTGTGATCAGAATTGTTTAATAGAACTAGTAAAAAGTTCTTCTGGGAATCATTAAAAACAAAAATTGGTCAAATCGCACCCACTTTTAAGAGAAAATGCCGAAATTATGAATATACATCTTGACACATTACGTTTTACTGCACATTATCTTACAAAGACAGAGAAATAAATTAGATAGGAAACTGAAAGGAAATGTTTACTGATTTTATTGACGACTGAGGCAATGGCTCTAAACGTGAACGAATGCCTCGGGGATATTGCAAAAAAGAAAGCACAGGTTCTGAGCTTTGCAAAATATATGAATAGATAGAAACTAGTTGACTGTGTGTTTTAATCGTGTTTTATAATTCCAGGTTGAAAATACGTTAAATTGGAATTTGCTATAAAGACATTGAAGTCGTGTTTGTAAATGATAGGTTATAGCACTTTGATGAGTGTACGTAATATAGAAATATTAATAATTTATAGATATAATATATAAGATAAAAGCTTTAATAAGTTCTAAAGAAGAGCCGTCTCCCTATATTATAACAGACGATCAATACCACTAATAAGCAATACATTGGATATAGCATACATCCTTTTTTACACAAAATTTCAGAAAAGAGGTTTAGTTTAATATAAAGATTTTTTTTAGTTCCATTATTTCTGAACATATTAGCTTTTATTCACACACTCGGATCCGTTACTGGAACCAACAGGTATTTAGCAATGCATGTAAAGTTTCTTGCTCAAGGAAAAATTGCTTAACATGTACATGTTGAGTTCTCATAAGAAGTGAACAATTCTGACCCATCCGGCTAGAGACCCTTAGATTTAGAGTCCAACGCGTTTACAAGTAGGCCATGACGCAATTAAGATTGTTTAATGCTTTTTCCTAAAGTTCTTTTATTTTTGGGTGCATATGGGGTTGCATTAAAATGTTTGGGCATCAGAATTGCAGCCAGCGATTATCCCTGACGACCATATGGGTTCGAATGACTTGAATCCATGCATCTTTTAGATGACCCATAGTATTTCTTTTAGCTGGTAACATCCGAGGACAGACACTATTCATCTTTCCAATTTCAGCACCAGTTTAAAAACTGGAACTTTAATTTAAGACCATTCGCTAAATGTATAGTACACATTTTTACGCTGATACCAAAATCGTTTCCTTCTTACATGTAGTATCAAATATTTAAAAGGGAATATTAATTCTGCAATGCTTGCTTTAAGTGTTACAGTAACAAAATGTTAAATTTACTAATTTTGTTCAAAAATGCACAAACAGAATGAAGAAAGCTGACGTTAAACGATATTCTTCTAATGGGCAATCGACACCTCAATCTATCATAGGTTTTTTTGCAGACGCAAGAGGTAAGCGTAAGTTACTGTCCACGCCGGTCTTTGTAAAATAGACAATATTGCAACGTTTAGTAAATAAATAACACATTCAGTGCTCAAAAATTGAAACTATGTACGTACATATAGAATATCACCATTGGTATTTGAAAGGAAGAACGAATAAATGAAAATAAAATGAGTATTTCAATTTAAAAGCAATTAATTGATAAACAATAATTGTTATGTAAGGCATTCTATCTTGCGGGGATCCGAGTTGACGACATTAGGGATGATATAAAGCGGTCTGAAGACACTGTGGTAATTATTCACTAGTTTATACACAACTATGGACAAAATGGATGTTCTTAAAATAATTGTTATGTGTATTCTATGTAAGTACATGAAGTATATTAATATATTTATAATAATTACAATACGAATACTTATATTTTCGTCTTAAAGTTAAGAATGTAATTGACTTAAGAATTATATTACTGTATAAGTGGATATTTGTGCGTCACAAAAAAATGCCAGAATGTGGACGTTTTGCTTGCGGAAATATTTGCGAAATATGATTTATTGAATTAAATACTGTTTTTATGATTTCTTTAATTAAGCAGCACATGTTAAGAATATGTCGTTTTTGTATGTCGTATATATGTATTGAATAACTTTTTGTATTATTAACACAGAATTTATATTATTTGATTAAAATATTTGTGATTTACTTAGACCAAACTTAAACAAACAATGAAAAAAAAAAGATCTCAGTACATGAACAGTCAAACTTATTCGTGTAAAGTGTTGTATGAAAACATGTTGAAGAAAGTTGCCTAGAAAGAAATTTTTTTTGCGTGCTTATTTTTTGCGAATAATTTCAATTCGCGAAAATCGCAGATATCGCAAATATTTCCACGTCGCAAAATTAACCACTTATACAGTATTTTTTATTTCAGTAGCGGGATTACTTGATAGATAATCCGACATGAAAAAAAAAAGTTTTTAATGTGTATTTTGTATGTTAGATAAAGATAAATTTTAATTATAGTTGCATGTGTTACAAAACAAAATATGAACATATTGTGATGAAATAAAACAAGTCCACACCCGGCCCAATGAGCCTATAAGTCACCTTAAATTATAGACTAAATTAAGCACATGTGATCATATGCCACGGTATTTCGCAATTGTTAGCTGCACTTGTTATGATGAAAAATATATTTACAATAAAAATTCTATAATATATAAGCATGTTTGTTAATAATCACAAATAATGTGAAATTTTGACTGACGTTGTTCGGTCTGAAATGCATTAACAAAAAATTTTGCCGTTTTACGAATATTGTCATTTAATATTACACAAATTATTCTTATATAAATTATGATATTTGCAGGGCAAATAAACAGCGTCGGGGCACAAGAGATACGACCCCAAAAAGCTGGAAATTTGAAGGCAGTAGGAAATTGGGTAGTGTATATAAAACTCGGCAATGACGAGGTGTGCGCAGGTGTACAACTCTCTGACGATTGGGTACTTACCCTTGTTGACTGCATTGATAAAAAAATGTAAGAAATCATAACATATTTGTTTAAACATATTTATTCGATATATTTACATTATGTATGATGAGCAATATTTACACAATACATTTTGGGATTGGACAGAAAGCTATAAAAGCTTATGAGTGTCCTCTCCCATATTGAATTATTATATATGTATTACTTGATGATCATTTATCTGTGTCTTACTTTTATATTGTACCATCACATCTAACTGTCTGGCAAGGGAAAATTCATTTGAAGAAAATAAAGCAGCCAAGTTACATGGAAATGAAAACTTAGTTTGAACGAGCCTGTTCCTTAGGTAAAAGTGACATCCCTCACACATCCTAGCAACGGCTTAAGCAGGTATTCAATCGGTCGAACTAAATTTGTTGAAATCAATGATCATTGAAGGCTCAGAAAGCTATAACAACTCTTAAGTACAGGTAGAAGGCGACTTTACTTACACGACACCTGATGCCTGCTCTACAACGATTGATCACGAATATGGGATGGGATGATTATGTTGCCTGCAAATATAAGAATAAAATCAATCTTAATTTCCAGGTTATATTTTAAAAAAGCCATAACAACTTATAAAATGAATATTTTTATTCTTTGATTACAAGTCTTGTGTTTAATCAATTTTAGCAAGCTTACAAAATACAGCATTGTACACAAGGATGGTTCAAGAAAGGTTATATCCGAAGACCGGGTAAGTGTGATGCTTCAATGTAAGGAAAAAGTGTGTTAATTTCTCATTCGTATAATGTTTCAATTTAAAAAAATGAAATTTTAAAAATTGCTGATCTTTCTAAGTACACTTGCACTGTTACAAATATGATTTTAATTTTAACGGGACTCCACCGGGGTTCAAACGCATAAACATTTACATTTTAAATTTCTGAAATAGAACAATTTGCATGCTTTAAACAAAAAGATATGCAAACGATTATAAAGCAAGACTTAGAAATAAATTGTAAACGGTATTCTTATACTATTCTTAACTCGATTTAAGTAATATTTGGTAATTGTCATTATACGACTACTTATCCTTTAAATGCGGATTGAGCGAATTTTCCTAAATTTTGCACACAAGTTATTAATCTAGATCTACATCGAATGCAACTTCAACTACAAGGAGTCATGAATTAACGTTTTCAACATAATTTATTCACGATATCAGCTTCGTAAATTTTAGATTTAGAACACGAATCTATGCCTCAGAAAAGTGAGAGCATGAATTGTAAGACGTCTGATTTTAATTCGATTTAATTAGACGTTTTAACAAAAGCACAAAGATTAAAAAACAACACAAAATGTTCATTCGTCTGACCTTTTCTTGATATCCTTGAGGTTTTTATGTTGGTGAAGGGTATCTATTCGTCAATTATAAAACATTTGTCCTTTTGACAGAAATTGGCCTAGACCTTACATGTCTTACATGATTTCACTAAAGAGATTCCCTTTGACGTTTCCGTAACAGTCAACTATTTTAACTTTATGAATAAAATTTCACTATTTCATGATGTCAACTTATATCACGGTTTTAACGTCACGATTTAATCGCAAATTAGTTAAATTGATATATTGAAACAGATTGCGAAACTGTGGTTATCAAAGTAAAAACCCGAATTCAATTTGTGGAAATCAAATCATGAAAACGCGGATTTCTTTAGTTTAAAATCGTGAAGTCATGAAGTTGAAATCCTAACTTTGAAACCATTGATTTCGTAAAATGAAATTTTGAAGCACAATGGCATTTTTCATTAGTATCTTCAATTAAAAACAATGAAATCTAGGAGTTAATGGCACATTTACACCAAGGACTTACTGCATTATATGACACAAGATTGAAAAAGAATGCGCATCATTGATTATCTGCTACAGGTATAAGACTGGTATTAAAGTCTTTCCTTACCCTGAATTTTTTTTTCTTTTTTTTTCTTGATTTTTTTCTCTTTTTGTTTGGTAAATATTGACGTATCGTATGTTTTTTCACTGTAAGACATTAATTCATCTATTAAAGGACTCCGTTGGAAAGTTATTTATTCTTCTGAAGATGAAAATTGATAAAGAAGCAACAAAAACAAAGTTCGCACAACTTGCTGACTCCATGTCACCCTCTTCAGACTAAAGGTTTTATCTGTACAATCGAGACAAATCTGGTAAATTAATTAAATAATGAATGCAAAAGGATAAGATATAGTATAAAACAAACTTTTGTCTAAAAACATTGTGATATATAAGTTCGTTAATTAAATGTATTTAGATAACGCTTTCATTATTCGTCTAAAAAAATTAAATAAATAAATTGTGGCTTTGTCATTCAAAGTATACATTTGTTATAAAAAAATGAAACATAATGAAAGGAAGAAATTAATATGCGATTCGGAAAATTGAACAAAAAACTCCTTGATAAAAAGGGGGTAACCCTTCAAAATGTAAGAGGTTGATAAGCGTTGTGAAATAGATAGTTAGTTATCAACAATGAAGTTTTGAGTAAGTATTTGATAAATGCTTTATTTTATGATTCTATTTCCGGTCACTTTGGTTATAACTGTATCCTATTGGTTTAATGTTACAGATAAACTTATTGCAAATGACGTCGATTTTGTCAGAAGCTCTCAATGTGAGAAGGAAGCAATTGATGGTAATTTTGGCGAGACACATAAATGTGTTCAAGGCAACATGAATAAAAAAGCTAGATGTCTAGTAGGTTGAAATTTGAAATTGTGTTGTTTTTCTTGGAAGATGATCATATCTAAGGTTTGCTTATTATATGTGAAGACGAATGTTAAGGTCTGAGGCGACTTGTCCATTTTGAACACGGCACTTCTCTTTCTTTCTTTTTTGTGAAGCGCATGGGAAAGAAGCAAGTCAATGCATTTTCTCAGTCCGATAGATTGTCCCAACATGAGGTTTTGTATTCTTGCTGTGCTTACTAATTTACCATATTATACGAAATGGTTCTTATGGTATTAATTTGAAAAACTTATTTATAATTCACAATTTTAAGAAAAAGATGTACTGTCAATTCTAAATGTTGTGTAAATTCGTGCCTTGTTGGAATGTAAACTGAATTTGTAACATTTTCAACCACCTGTGACCAGGCTTTGTTGGAATGATATTACACCCAGTTGCTAAGAAATTAAATGTAAATATACATTTTATGAAAATTTTAGCCAGGAAGTCCAGTGTTTGGATCCAAGAAGAAAGAAATAATTCTGCAAGGACTTGCTGTCACATCATCTGATTCTTGCTCATCACAGCTTCAATCTATTGCAGTGCTAAAACCGCAAGTCAACTGGATTAACTCGGTTATTATTGGTATCTATCAAGTAAAATATTATATCAATGCCATTCTCCTGTTCTATATTTTGTACAATTTCACAAACCAAATACTCTAATACTGTTGAAATAATCTGGCAACTTAGGAAACAAACAACAACAACAAAAGTAGAAAAAAAACAACAAAAAACCCCAACTGTATTCAAGATAATTTTAGAATTTTTACGAAGATAAACTAATCTACCTCTTCTATCGTGAGCCACGCTCGAAAGACCATTCCCAAAATAAGTTCTGCCTTATATTTGACGTATTTCAGTGTAAGTTGTATCCCCTGATAGCTATTTATGAGCCCCACCGAGAGTGTTATAGTAAAATTGTTAAGTTGTAAAATTTGAATAAAAGATTTAATCCACTAGCGGATAAATTGAATATTATCCACCGTAAGCAACGTGTTCCCAACTTTCTCTTCTGATAAATAACACTGCTGCTCTACGTTTTCAACATTGTTACATACATATTGTACAACTTGTTCATGTAATGCATATACTCCTCAAACGTTGTATTTAAATTATATCAGATTGCGGTCCTATTAAAACTTTTCGGAATGGCAAGGTGAAGCTGAACAAAAAATCTTCGACGGCAATAGGAGCTACAGCGACTATTATGTGTAATCCTGGGTATGAGGCAACCCAAAAGAAAATCTTTTGCCAAGAAAACGGGAAATGGGAAAAATCAAGTTGCGAATTAAAAGGTAAGGGCTAGCTACTTATAATACAGAACAAACAGTTTCACTATGTGACAGATAAGGAAATGACAGTTGTATGTGGTTTAGAAGTAAACGATCAATAGCCTGATTGTGGTGAACATATATACAGTTTACAAGAACAATAAGCTTACAACTGCTTATCTAGCACACTGGACTTCGGTGGTTCTAAACAAAATAATGCACAGATAGGCACCTGAGGTGTTCCTCAACCAGTAAAGTTGGAAAGTCGCCATATGACCTACACTGCGTTGGTGTGTTGACGTAAAGCTCAACAACAACATCAACAAGTGTTAAAATTTTGCCATGTTACCAGTAAGAGATCTGTATAACAACTAATAATATACAGTGATAAGTTTTGTAATATTCACACACAAAAGTTTATTACAATTACATGTATCTTTTTTTCTTTCTACTTATTTATTATATTTATTCCACTTCAAAATCCTTGTTATTGTATAACTATGTAAACGAGTTTTTTTTATTCTTTTAACACACAAATCTTTCTATTATTTAATTTAACATGTCAATTAAGTAACATATAGTTTATTTTCAATACGACATAATTATCATACCTTTTACATTTTTTTTCAGATTGCGGTTCCGTTGAAAATATCCAGAATGGAAAAATAAAATTAGAAGATGCATCAAAGTCGACAATGGGGGCAACAGCGACAGTTGAATGTGATCCTGGCTATAAGGCAAGCCGGGAAAAAATAAAGTGCCTAAAAACTGGGAAATGGGGAAAATCAATTTGCGAAATAAAAGGTACTTTAAAATTGACAACATACATAATTAAAAGTGTTTATTATACCGATTGAAATGTTTATACAATACAAAACAATATCACTGTAGGTCAATTTATTTGAAACATAAAGATTAGATTATATTAACAAAAAAAATAATAAAAATATTGCTCTCCTCTCTCACACGAAAAACATAAACATTATATGTATGTTAATAAGTAACCATACTATAATATTTGTTAAGCTGCTGCTGGAAGATCATGTGAATAACTGATAAATAAGTATTCCAAAAAAGCTCGTTAAAATGATCGACCAAAATAAATGTCTAAAAATCGGCAAACAAAAAAAACAACACTTAAAATGGCTGAGAAAACGTCTACTCATTCGCAGAATTATATTTATCATGTTATGTATTTTAATCGACAAACCAAGGACCTTATTTTTTCATGTCTGTGTTTCCTAATCTAATGAGGCTACATACAACTTAAGAAAATGTTTTCATTGTTAAAAGTTGGCACTTATTTCAGAGTTTCAAAGTGTATTTTTCTTGGCCGCTTCAGTTTTGAATCAAGGAGCATATTCATTATAAGTTTATTGCCATTAAAACTTTATTATATTAAAAGTTGTCCAATTGTTAAGTTGTCTTACATTGATTTGTTTTCCTTCATCACTTTTATAGCGAAAGTGTTTGTATATTCGTTGTATTGTCGTAAAATTGAAAAGCAGACTTTCTATATAACAACTTATTTATTTGACATGATCTCTATATTCAATGTAATGCATGTATAAATAATCAACTTGTTTAAATCTCAAAATATAATAAAAAGTATGTTCTGTTCTATTCTGTTTAAAACTACTATAAAGATATTAAGTCGTATCATCGTCAAGTGAGATTCAACAAATAACCATGAATACAACAACTTAACTTTTCTAATTGTGCCCATCCTTTTTTATTAATATAGGTGTAAGTTATTTATTTATAAACGGCATCCGTGCCTTTAAAAACAGATATCAAAATTTTCTTCTGAAACTTTCCACAGAGTAGTTTAATAATATATGTATCAACCATTAGATTTCACATAAGACAATCAGTTTGATTAGACATTTAAATTAGACAACTCGGAAACAACGTTATTCAAGTATCAAATAGTAACAACATGTTCTTATTTTTGTGAATGTACTTCCGAAAATCAAGGATACTGAGTTTTAAAACTTTTAAAGATGTGTTGAAGTGTATCTTACAGGTGATAGATTATACAGTGTTTTTAAGAAATTAATCTTTTAGCGAACGAACTGAAGCGAAAAAGTTAGTTTCTTAAAACTCTGTAAATAACCTTAAACTTGACTTACAGTTAATCTGAGTACATTATATAAATAGGGGAGTCCATTAAAGCGGCACATTTAATGTATAGATTTAAGATATACATTTGACTTACAGCACTGTATGATCAATATTTCGGCAAAATTTAAACAAAATAGAGCGAATAAAGTGAATAGTTTATATCACAATAAACTGCTAAATGAACTTTCATGCGGGAATATGGAGTCATCGTTTGGTTTGCCAATATGTCTAATTCAACATGATTCTGACCTTTTTCTCCAAACATTGTTAGATTGCGGGCCTGTTGAGAACGTTCGTAAAGGAAAAGTAATCCTTGATAATAATTCGACATCGACGGTTGGAGCAACAGCAACTTTGGAATGTTTTCCAGGGTATAAGCCAAATAAAGAGAAAATAGTTTGCTTGAACACAGGGAAATGGGAAGAATCATGGTGCAAAATCAAAGGTATTTTTAACGCATATTGTTTGTTTCTCCATGATTTGTCTAGCAAGGCTTTACACACATCATCTGTTCAACATTTAACTGTTAACATGTTTTTTTTTCTTAGATTATAGGACTCGTAAATGCCGTGAAATCAGCAGCTTGACAAAATTATCCACACTCTTATCCACTTTGTTACCAGTAAGTGATTTATAGATATGGAGAATGCATATCATATAAAGGAAAATGTTTAAAGGTGTGACTGAATTATAATAATAATTATTATTATTATTATTATTATTATTATTGTTATTATTATTATTTATGGTGGCATATTTTTTCCAAAACTAACCATATTGATATCGCGGTTACTATATAATTAACTCGTTAGTTTTCGACACAATAAATAACGAATATTTATCAGACTAACTAGATATTTTTCTGTTTAGATAGATAATAAACGAGTAAGTACCTAACATCCAAATACACGAAACAGTACCCAGAACTGCCAACACTATCAAGTTAATTAATATATACTTATTTGTTTATCAATAAAACTTTTGTGTCACCCCAATACTTTATATAAGTTACAATGGGTTAAGAGAAAAGCATCAGTACATAATTTTTTAAAGTCGCTTTGGCTAGTGATGGAAAATGTGAACTGCACCTAGAATTGTAATCATGTTCTGATTTTTCTGAATAGCCGTATATTTGGTTACTATATAGCATAACAGGTATGAGAACATAATTAAGTTTTCTTGACAGAATGGGATGTTTAATTCCTTACTTATTCTCTGATCCAATTCAATAAAAAGAAAAAGACATAAGGCCTGATAAATCACTATTTTTATAGAATGATGATCCAGAAACGGTTAGTCACTTTCGGCTTAAGTTCTCCAATGCCACAGTGACTTTGAAACTGCTTTCTCTTAATCATAATTATAAAAATTAATAATATAGATTCATATGCCCAAAAAACCTTAAGCCGTCAGATAATAACAGCTTAAAATTGTTTTAAAAATCCCATATTTTTAAGGTTTGAATGATTATATGATACGCTAAGGAACATCAAAATGTGGTAAAACTCCCGATTAATAAACATTTATGTATTCTGACTTTATTTTGTCAAGTCAGGACGCAAATCTGCCGTTCCATGGCAAGCTACTTGTATTCGACTTCGGGTTTTAGATTTTTATATTGTTTGTAATTAGGAAAGGACATACATGCATTGTTCATTGTCGTTTTGGTGTCATAATGACGCTAAAAGTTAAAACTTTTTTGTCCTTTCACCAGTTGTAATTATTAATTTGGAAAACGGAGTGAGCAAATGACCTACAATTTTGCACACACGTTACTTATATAGACCTTCTTCGAATGTAACATGGTCATTTGGTCATCCCAATCACCTTAATGGTGTCCCTATCAAGCTTTTTCCTTTCAACCTTTATCATTTACAACTTTAAATTGCTCTCAGTGAAAAAAATACCCACTTTTTTCTTTCTTTATGTGTTCTTACTCTGTACCACATTAGCCTCAAATTTGAAAAGCGATGCCCGCTTTTTTATTGTTTCTATATTGTTTTTAACGCATTTGATCCACAGACTGTGGGACTCCAGCAAGTGTGATCAATGGGAAGTTGAATGTTACCACAACAAAATTTGGAGCAACTGCTTCCGTTGTCTGTGATGCAGGTTATGCCGGAAACCAATCAACGATAAGTTGCCTAGACACTGGCAGTTGGGAAACACCAACATGTACAATAATAGGTATTTTATGATTTAGATATTTTCGTGTTTTTCATTATTTATAAATTGTATTTATCTGATGTAAGTCAAGCATCAACATTGATAATTTATAATTGTACCATGTAAATTATTATAAATGCGTTTTGAAGAAACAAGGTTCCGAAAATGTTGGCGTTTTAAAACATAAAGAGAACATTATACGGCCCGATGCCTGGTCAAATCCACAGCTTAATAGTATTTGACTTTTATAATTGACTAACATTCAATAACCTAGCGAGGTGATACATTTGAATTTAATCAAATAAACACGATCATGCCCTTTAAGTACAAAAGGAAGTTTCATTGTTTTGCAAATATTTGTATGTGTCGATAAGTTAACTGAATCATCTACAGAAACTCATTTTTTAAACTGTAAAGGATAATCATAAAAAAGGAAGTCGAAAATTTTATTTCTTCTTATGTAAATGCAAGAATGACCTTGAATATCAAAGCATTTTTTTTCTCCCAAAAAGTAGACACGCACATAAAACACTACTTGAATATTTCGGGATGATTGCTCTCACTAGGTGACCAACGTCTATTTGATTGGGAAGTGTCAATTGTTCAAACCATTTTCCGTTGAAACTGTCTACGCCTTTACATTTTTTCTTAATTGATTTGGATGAATTTGATAATTTTCCACAGACTGTGGGTCTCCCCAAAATGTGTCAAATGGGGCTTTGAACTTTACCACAACAACATTTAGATCAACGGCTGCTGTTGTCTGTGATAATGGATACCTTGCAAAAAAGACAAATATAAGTTGCCTTGAAACCGGAAGTTGGGAAACAACAGCCTGCACAGGTATATTACAAATAGAATGTTAGATAACATGTGAATGATTGTTTTTTAAGTTAATACATGTACATAAAACATATAAAACATCGTTTAAACTTCTACAGCTGGTTAAATAGGATTTTATAGTTCCGTCTATTAGACTATTAATAGTAAGTAAACTTCCTGACTGTATTTCCAAAAATGTTTGGACATTTGACTGGCTAACTTTTAAAAACTAGATTTTGGGTAATTTCAAGTTTTTTTCATCATTTTTTTGATCGCCTCCCCCCCCCCCCCCCCCCATTTTGAGCCTTCGAAAACAGTGAAAATGCCCTATTTAGGCTCAAAACACTGTTTTGTTTGAGCAATGTTGATGAAAAAAGAGATCACTTTTTTCGGCGCTGCCCCTTATAAAAATGTACATCAATGGGGTTGCAAGAAAGGGGATGTGCCCCCGGCTGTTTCGGGGGTTTGAAGGGGACGGCAGGCCGATCGTTAGGTAACGTGTAACCAACGTTGAAAAGCCTTTTACTCTTTCGATATCCATTGAGAAGTTGCAGCACTTTGAAATAAGTTTTGATGAAAAAAAAACATGCCAGAAAGTGATTTTGTGCTTTTTTGAGACGCCCCCCATTGCCATGGTAATGGTAAATTAAAGATTGAGCATGCTGTTACAGAGACTTTAGTCCAGTCAACATTTGTGCCCAGTTTCACCAGTATTGAAGCATTTCTCATAGTTTGATATCAGTTTGAACTTGAAACAGAAGGCTTTTCAATGAAAATGGTCAGTTTTCACAACATGCTCATGAAGTAAAGGATAAATGTGTCCTATTACATTTCTTTAACTTCAGGTGTAGATGTTGATAGCCATTCTAAAATATATCCGTGAAATATAAAGTAAATTTCACATGCTAACAGTGTACCTTGAAATGCATATTGGCAAAATAATCCATTTACTCAATTCACAATTCTGAAAATGTCCCGAGAATTATGTATAAAACATCACTTCGGGACCATTGTGCAACGTTTCAAAAAGGAGCAAGATTGGTAATAACTTCAATTACTTTTCTTTACATCGGAAAAGCGCTAAACTCTACACATTCCATAAATATCCTAATTCAGTAAAAGTAATTATCAACTTGGATACTTGTTTAGTATCCATCATGTCTGTTGGAATGTTAACAATTTAATAAAAAATATCTTAAGGGAGCACAAATTAAATGCAATACTTGGGATCACTTTATCTTTATTTGATCTTTTCAATATTTCTTTCTCTATTCGTCTTTCTGTCCTTCTGTCCCTTAACATTAAATAATGATAAGTTGTTTCGATATGCTTACTTGTACGAGTCTGTTGTTTTTCAATGATTTTAGGGGATGTTACGTCGTTGCCTATAATTACCTAGAAAAAGTATTTTCGTAAATATTAGAGTACAGCATTAACTTACAAAAATTTAAACGTTATTATAGTAGTATAATTATGTTCATGCGAATTGTACAGTTCTTGTAATAATCCTCTCCCATTATGACAAAACGAACAAAAATCACTATTTGTCATCGTTTGTTATAATATATCACACGTAAATTCATTTTACAACTACAAAAACACGTTTTTTTATATGGATAAATAATTCTTTGCCATTTTACTTTGAAGAAATACAACAATGTAAGGCAAACAACACTTGTGGACTTTCTGCCGGATCGTGTAGTTCCCCAGGTCAAAGTAAGTCAGCAATGATTAATATTTCTTTCAAATTTTATGTTCCCTACTTTTACTATTTTTGGAAAGATTTTGATACACTTTACTAAGTTAATTTTAATTTAAAGAGCTTAACGATGATAAATCAGTAAACGATATTTAACAATTTGCAAATAATCTTGAATATTAAATAATAATAATTAGCCATTTTCACTGCCATATGTATATATTTGCAATGTATGTTTTTAATTTGTCTACTGGTTTTAAATTAAACTTGTTTTGAAATGATATGATTTCCGTTGTAGAATGTTACATAGACGATGTCGAAGTGTTTTTACCGAACTTAATCTTATCGGAATATGAAAATTTTGTAGTACCTATTGCCTCAGAAGAAATTTGCAGAGAAATATGTCTTAATGCCACAACGTATCGCTGTGTTGGCTACATGTTTTATTATGATGATTTTAAACAATGTTTTACCTTCAGCAAAACTCCAGCTGAAGGATTAAAAACGCAATACAATGATAAAATTGGACTGAAGGTACTGACATGTGTAAATTGTTGAACCGGTTAAAACGATCATACCTGAAAAATGCTTTTTTGTGAAACTATAAGTACTAAATTGTATTGTCTGGTATATATTTACTTTAAATTTTACACTTTTTGAAGGGTAGTTTAAGCCATAAAATTACAAACTAATAAAACTCAATAAATACTTATGTTAAAAAAATCTTGTTTTTATACTTATTTAATGATGAAGTTTCCACGTGGTAATTCTCCGAATACAAAAATTTAATTAATCATATTAAATCGAAATCAAAATCAATATATTGCTAGGTACAATTTGTGTTTATTATTAAACAAAACGTATGTACCATTCCAACGTTTTCATCTTACATATATTGATTTAAGACGTTACTTTATTGCAATGCCCGTTATTTTCCATAAGTGTTAATAATAAATTTAAGCAAATTTTAAGAAACTCCACTGAGGTCCAAAAGCGTAAAAAAATAATTTTCTAACATAGATCAGCTGGGACACTTAAAACAGAAAGATATGCAAGAAAAATACTTAAACCGAACAAAAGTCTCGTTAATAGATGCCACATTTGGCGCGTTTGATATCATAAATAACAAAGGAAAAGTCGTAATTACACATTCCTTTAAAACCACCAACATCTTATTGAAAGAAAGAACATCGTAACGTGACACAATATACGAGAAGAGTATGTTCAAAAAGTTCGTGGACTTTTGCTGTCAGTTTTTACTAGGTTCATAAAAACAGCCTGGGTTGATATGAAACGAAAGAGTATCTAAATTTCTAAAAGTAAATTTTACTTTTATCTTAAACCTTTACTTCCTTTACGAGTTATGTGCACTTTAATAACCATGGCAACGCAACATTTGCGCACGACAAAATTTTCCTACCATGTTTAAATATTAACAAATGTTGAAATACATTTGAACGGCTATTTCATGAGGAAAAATCAGGGTAAACATCAATTAATATTTAATTGACATATATCTGAAATTCGACGTCATGTGGACGTTGAATGACTAAACAAACAAGTTTTGGGCAGCAGTGGCAAATTGCGATTTAAAAGCTTGAAATTCGCATTTTCGTAAAGTTTTGCAATCAAACTGCGGAAACTCCTTCATTTCACATGAGATGGTTGATTTAACAAAGGGCAATGAGTTAGCGAGCAAGTCATTCGGTTTCAACTGACACAAGCGATTCAAAAACGGCAAATACATGATCACATACAGAAAGGGGCAAGGGAGAAAGAGGCGACTTGTCAGGACGTTTGTAACGTCAATAACAAAAGTTCTACAGGAGGATGTACAGTATGAAAGGTTTGCGAGCTGTCCGGCATGTTTGATTTCTGCATCGGGTCTGCACATTCAATTCTGACCAGACAATTACATTTAAAGAATATTCTATTTTATTCATCAGGATATATGTGTATTTACAATAATTTAAAGGTTGTAGTTTCTATTTGCATTACATGTATTTTAACTAATTTGTTTGATAATAAATGCTAAACGGTCATAATTTGCTGTCCAACTTTTTCGACAGCGGTAAATCGTTTCAGCAGTTATTTGCATATTGCGCAATAATACTACGGGGCTACAGCGTTTTTATCAATCAAATACGTTCCTTTATTAACTTGGATAACTTAATTTGAAATTGGAAAGGCTAAATATGGAAGTCTTTAAGATATCTGACAAAGTATGGGAAGTTAATAGGATCAAATTCATGTACCATCTCTTGGGCTGTTATTCGGTTGAGGACACTTGCGCGATTGTAGCCGACGAAATCCCATGTGTAGATGACATAGCTCTGAACGCGCCTGAGGGCGCGTCCGTCACAAAAATGGTTATGGTTATATGATCCGGAGATATTGAACACTCGACAATGTCTTTTCAGGGTCAATGACTTTGGTGGCATTTTTATTTGATATTTCGTCGTCGCAAAAGTCATTTTGTTTTATCATTTACGTGCACCGGATCGCGTATACATTGTTATTTGTAATTTTCACAAAATTGTTATTTGTAAACATATTGTGTTGATTTTTTCATTGCATGATGGACATGTTCATTATTTGTCTCTTGTAAAATCGTGTACGCAAATTTAAAAATGTGAACAATAGAGCCGCAGTCAAGGAACGTTTTGAACAGCCCTCATATTTAAGGACAATGCGAATGATGTTGCAGATAAACATTTTCAATTTCAAGGAATCGAAGGCTGAAGTGACAAAATGACACTCTCATGTTAAGGCAATAGACTCACTCGGGTATTATAATTATTTTATTTTTTTTTTGGGGGGGGGGGGCGGTTATTGCCTACCTAATCTGGAGGTACACATAAAGTTTACAGTGACAGACTCGACTAAAAGTTAAAATATTATGGCCGAAAGTGCACCGTGAAGCTATACGACGGTAAAAGTTGTTTGAATCCGGGGTTTTAGCTTTGAAAAAATAACACATTTGCAGGATATTGCGTTTATGTCAGTGCAAAATGATACCCAAAATTTGTATATATTTCGATCCTTAAACAGTCAATGTAGTTGTCTTTTCTTTATTCTGATAAACGAAACATAATCTATAGGTACTTATTGAACGAACTTTATACGAGTTGCTCGTTCTCAATAACAAGAGAAAAATTACCTTAACAAGTAACTAAATTAAGTTATGCAACTTTTGCTGTTTAGAATTACTTAAGTGAAAAAACTTTGCAGTTACTTCCACAAACAAAAGGGAACAACTGGTAAAAATTATGACCAAGCGCAAATATTATTAGTAATAGTAACGATACTAAACTAAATACATGAAAAACCTATAAAGGCGATAGCCAGCCTATCATAAGCAAACCCTCTGCAGCGATAACTTCCTCTGTATGTGTATAGAAGATTGGAAAGTGAATGTGTATAAAGAATTCCTATTGGAAATATTTTCAATTACGTATGCTGTAATGAAGTTATCCGGTAGGTTTCCTTGGTGTAAACTGTATGATTTCAAAAAAAACAAAAACAAAAACGTTTACAATAGTCTTTCTATAAATCGCCAACTCAAGAATTGAGACTATTAGATAACTTTGAATCGCAGTATATTTTTCTGAATAAATTCAAATGATCGAAAATTCGATACATGTATCGAGTCAAAGATATGTCATTTTATTTTCTTTTTAACGAAAAAAAAAACAAGAATAACCATGGGAAAACCTTTACATTTTTAGCAAATTACATACTTAAATCAAACAAAAAGGTATCACTGAATTTGTTCATTGCGTTTATGTTTCCGTTTCCGTTTAGTAGACAACTTACACAATTATGTAACTATTTATTGATAAGTTAACTCACTGCACATTATTTACTTCCAGCTACAATCTCATTAAACAGAAGAATTTTTTGTGATAACCTAAAATTTACTTTTCATTTCGATAATAAAAATATTGATTCAAATGGTGTGCGTATTTTTGTCACATTTTTCAACTCTGAATTTCATCAACATTTGGGATGTGCGTATAGTTTTGTGATGTAGAGAGGCACATCAAATTGGGTTTGTTCTTTATTTTTACATTAAGTGTAAAAATAAATACTTAACGTAAGTAAGTAGAAGTTAACTAATGAAAGGCCTAGTGAATGTACTTAACAATAGGTAGGAGTGTTTAAAAACAGCACGAGCGGTATTAAAAATGGTTATACATTTTGTCTCAGACAGTGCTTCTATTTGATCTAAATTGTGATATCGTATGAAAAATTTAAATGCCAAAAATTCTATATTGATTTGCTGTATATTAAGCCGAAATGTTTTATTTGAGCTTTCATTGGTGGGATCTGTTTCCATTACAACCCATCCCGCAAGGAATTTAGAAACATTAACTGTCATAGTAAATCAAGATACTGTCAAAACAGGCGACAGAAATACTTCAAAAATATAGTTTTAGATTTTTAACAACTAAAAAAGTAGCGCTGAACATGCAGTAAAGTGCTATTAAAGTAGCAAAATGTAAACAAAGTAGTAGTTTGACTTCTTTACAAAACACTTAATTAAAATCCTATATAATTAAACCAATTGCCAACAGAAAAAATCTGCAAAATATTTAGATGCACAAAATTGTTCAGTTTGGAAAAATCGATGATGTTATGATGGAGAACTAAGTTGAAACATTACATCGGGTGAACTCGACGTAAACCTTTTAACTTTCGTTTTCGGAGTTTTGAGGGGTTATATCCGGTGGACGCTGTACAACAGTGATAAAGAAATGAAGTAGTCGATTTCTTCATACAAATCAAATTATTTGAAGCAGACCATTGGTTGTGTTATGTCGATCTTCCTTGAAGAATATTCCAATAAATATTCAAACCTAAGTGCTAGTATGGCGATCTCATACTCTCATACCACGTTAATAAGTTCAAATGGAAGTACTAACTTCAGATAATATTCCTATAATAACGCTGGGCCATTATCCGGAGATTGCAGGAGAGCTTTACGTCGACCAACAAAACGATAAAGAAATGTTAACATGGGCAAATAATGACACTGAATCAAGTCGTACATTATCCTGCGAAAACTGGCCAACTTGTGACCAGAAAAACACTGATAATTTATCAAATGACAAGCATTTGAATAAGAGCGTTATAACGAAATTTCGATTCCAAATCGATCAAATTGAGAATCTAAGAAGGTCAAGAAAAGACACGAAACCACTAAATAAACCTTAAGACTTCCGGATGAAATTTGGTTTATGATTATCAAGATTACCTAACAAAAGATTACATCCTCGAGAGTATGTTCGCAGATTTTGTAAAGAAAAAGTCCACCAGATACCATCTCGCTCTAGTGCGGTTAAGCAACGTTCACGTATCGCCAATAAGTTTAAAGACGATGGGTCTGCGTCCTGTGAACATTGCTTTTGCTTTGTTGATCTTTATTCTTGTTTTCGACAACTTGTCTTCTCTCGTATAAAAATCATGTACATTTACAAATTTATTTTTATACATCAAACCTGTTATTCTTTAAAACTTCTGTAATAAACACTCACCTTTTACCAATGTCTTTATTTGTGACGTTGGGGAATGCATCATTTCATGACATAGTTATATTCTTGCGTCTTAAGTAACTATCTACATCATGTACAGTCATGTCAAGTCATATTTAACCAGTATGTTAAAAGTATGTCATTTGTCTGTCACCGTAAATAA